TTCACTTCATCTGAGCTGCAGTCGGTGGGAGCGTAGGCACAAACGACAAAAAGGCGACGACATGTGTCCCTATCCTTCCGAGTTCTTACGGAGCCGTTTAGACGAACAGCACATAAACGACTGTTAGCGGGGATCCACTCTAACAGTGCTTGTTCCGTCCTCATGCTTAGTGCTATCCCTACTCCTGCCAGTCCACGAGAGCTGGCCATCGCGTCACCAGATACACGGAGGGTGTGTCTCGCTGGCTCTCCGTGTTGCCGAGGTGGGATCAAGTGAATGACACACTGGGATCCTGTATGCGTGTTTCAGAAACACAGCATACATCAATGGTACGAGATTCTAGGGTCCTAGCCAGGGAAGTCTGTTGACCGATTTGACATAGTGTGCGTACGTTGAAGGCTCCAATATGTAGTTTGGAGTGAGGTTTCAGTAGACCTGGGACAGTGTTTTGCGCACTAGAATCGTTGGCTACGGTGACACTTGAGGTGGAAGCCGAGAGAGGAAATATAGAGTTGAAAGTCGATGTAGGAGGAATAATAGGAATTGAAGAAGGAGGTTGATTATGAATACAGTGGTCTCGAGTGCTGTTAGAGGTATGAGGGCGGTTATCACTCCTCGGTTGCCCACACCGTGAACTGGTTCTTCTGGAGGTACCTAAAAAGGGAATTGGATTAGAGGTGGTCTTGGTGACCTAGGAGCGTGACCGCAGTGCCCAAGGGACAACTGCCTGGGGTCGGTCATACACGACCTTTTAATGGGTAGTTTTTGTGTTAGCTTCGTACTTGTTGAGACCTTACCGTCGGAGACGGATATCCGTGGGATAAGGTGAGGTGTGCATTTCTAGGGTCGACCTTTTCTGACCCTACCCTCCTTGTGGGAAGGCAACATCGCTGTCATGCTGGTTGTCTGAAGGAAACACCTTACTGTTGTCACACCCCTGTAAAGTCGTCAGTAAGACTTCGCCTTCGGACCTTAGGTTTGTTGCTTTTAGTTTTACCGCTCTTCAACTGACCTGTCTGACATGGTAGGACCATGAGGAAAGATTGTTTCAGCCAGTATAGCTCGGTTGCTTCATCAAGATAGGCAAGCCCGACCACCGCGTCAAGGTAGCAACAACGCTCGGCAAGACAATATGTTATAAAATATGAAGGCATTCCATGTTGGATAATGTTATTTTTAATATATGTAGTTGTACAGTCAAATATTCAATAACGATATTGACATTACAAAACTAACTGATGTAAATCGATCCACTAACTATTTGTTCATGTTTCTCTTATTATAAGCTTTATTTTGACCCATAGATTATTATGATACGATCTACGGTTCTTGAGTTATTCCCAGTCTATTAATTACAGTCTCCCACATTCACAGCCACATTTGGCTAGATCTTGTACAAATGTTATTTTCTATTTTATAGTGTGATGTGGTCTGTTTGATTTGTATATAAACCTAGTATGTTTGAAATACATGATTCATATCAGGGAGGCTGAGATTGATGTTCTGAACTCAACAGGCAGGGCTAGGCAGGAAGAAGGACCAATAAGGACTCTAGACAGCTCGTATGGGTTAACTCGCCATTGGTCCGGTCGATAAGTCCCTGTTGTCTAATTGGCGGTGTCATTACGTTGTATATTAATAGGGCACACGACCACAAGTTATAAAACACATTTAGATTGTGAAATGACAATAAAATTTAAGACACAAATTTTATGCACATACTAAAAATTTTGATAAAAATTATAAACAGGAACAGTCAGATTAGACAGTAAGCATAACAATAGCGATTGATTAATTACAGTCCTATATTTCAGTAAATGAAAACTACAAACCATTACTAATAAATTTATATCCGTTGAACAGGCTAGTGGCTAAATAAACTCAGTAGCATAGTGGACAATATATCTGGATCGGAAGAGAAAGATACAGGGTTTGAGTTTTAATACGAAAGCCAACACTAAAAGATGCAGGTGAGTCCAACTAACTTACTTAGGCCTATTACCCCTCATGGAGGAGCATGGGCCGCTCAACAGCTGATTAATGAGTTTCAAATGAAACGAAATGGATATATTGAATTTTACTGATAACCATCAAATAAATATAACGAACTTCAATATTATTATTGCCAAAATAACTCACTAATCGTTATTAAGAATAACCATTCTAGATAGATTTCCTAACATTTGATTTAGTCACTGTTCTTGATTATGTATGCTTATCTATACTGTTTTCATTATTCAGTAAGTATACAATACCCGTAACCTATTTTTATTCATTCATTAGATAAGTGTTACACAGGATTGTTATGTTTACTAAACACTTCAGATCAATTATTCATAGTTATCTACATCGGTCTGCTATGAATGAACCAGTGTAGAGCGTATCAACTTGGTGGATGACAAATACTGGAATAATGAAGGTTAAATCTTAAAATGGAATTTTCAGTGAAAATTACACTCTCATATCCAGTATTCATTCACTTACTAAATAGTAAAGTGCACATAGTGTTATAACTTGCGGCCTGAGTGCCCTGTTAATGGATAAGTTATGATACCGCCAATTAGGGAGCAGTGAATTATCGACCGAACCAGTGACGCACAAAACACGTGCGGGCAGACTAGAGTCCTGATTGGTCCTGCTTTCTGCCTAGCCCTGCCTGTTGAGTCCAGAACACAAGTCTCAGCCTCCGTGACATGAATCATGTATTTCAAACATACTAGGTTTATATACAAATCAAACAGACCACATCACACTACAAAATAGAAAATAACATTTGTACAATATTTGGCCAAAAGTGACTGTGAATGAGGGAGGTAGTGATTAACAGACAGGAATAATTCAAGAATGATAAATCGTATAATAAATAGTTCATAGGTCAAAATAAAACTCATAATAACAGGGACATGAATATGAACAGTTTATTTACATAACAATTAAACGATAAAAATATACACATAGTATTGTTCCATAAATGGATCCCAAAAATTACCATTCATTATTCAGATCGGGGTATAACACTTAGATTGTGAATACTGTACTGAACACTAAAAGCCAAACCTTTAATCTCACATAAATTTTGGTTTTCTAAACGACATAGACTATTATTTATTATTCTTATTAAAAAGAATGAACTTCATAACAAAATTGTTCTATATGCTTGCTAAGATGATTAGGAAAGTAATTCCATGAAAATCATGTTCAAACTAGCATTATTATTATTATTATTATTATTATATTCATAACAATTAACATTTGATTTAGTATTAGTTGTCAAAGTTTATTCGATTCTAATATCAGAACAGAGAAAACAATAACTTAGAGAACTATATCCTGACTATTTTATTATTATAAGAAAACGAGTTCAAACTAGAACGAATAATTAGTATACGTTGAATAAGTCAATTGAATGAATCATGTATATTCAGCTCAATAATAAAACAGATTTTATAGTTTTGATAAATGTAAATGTATAAATAACATATGAAATCAATCAGTTATAATCCTTATCAGTATGGGGTTGTGGAGATTATTAAGTTTCTGATTGAGATCATGAACTGTTTGATGTTAGACCACCATTAAAAACCTGGGAGCACTGAACGACCGTTTCGTTCTACAGTTGGACTGTTCAGCAGTGCTCATCTGCGATCCAACCCCGTGTGATTCAAACACTGGGCCTGCGATCTCGCGCACGAACACTTAACCTCTAGACCACTAAGCTGACCGGCATCCAAAGGTGTTAATGTCTAACTTCAACCAATCCACGAAATCGCTCGACCATCTCCCACTGTACTGAAGTAGATACCTCACTCTACCCGACATGGATTGGCTTTACTGCTCTCGGCTTCTCAATAGAACTCCGAGGATTCTCTCACGAAGCTAGTCACTAGTGAGAACGAATCCCGCGAGAGGGATCGTGGATGTGCACTGCTGAGGAGTCCAACAATAGGACGAAACGTCCGTCCAGTGCTCCCAGGTTTTCAATGGTGGTCTAACATCAATCGGTTCACGATCTCAACCAAAACAATTATAATCCTTGTAAAACTTGGTAAGTTTGTGTATTTGTTCGAGTTGCCATAACAAATCATCGAAAAAGAGAGGTAAATTATCAGTGACAAATATCAGAATATTTGTTGTAGTAATCACAATAGCGATAGTTGAAAAGATGAAGCATAAGTGATATGATTTCAGAGGAAATAATGAATTCATGGAATAAAAAGTATAAGATAATTTTAAAATTCAACACCTAATAAAAATAATGAGTGATTGCAACTGAGCTATTATCATCGATTCTGAGTTATGTCACTGATTGTTTTAATCAGTTGGTTATGATAATTGTGAGAAACCTAATCTGGTCATCTGTACCTGCCTACATAGTTCATCCTAACGGTTATAGACTTTTAAACTACTCACTACTATTTACTTACATGGAAAGCATAAGCTTCTTCAATATTGACAATATGCCTTGTCAACAAATGTAAATTAACATGAAACTTAGGTTTGGTTCTTTATGTATAATAAATCAGAGTAAATGAACTTACATGTTGATTGATTGATTTGAATTAACTTCTGGATAACTACACAAATCGGTTTACGGACATACTTTTGGAAATTGTACGATTCATGTAATCACTACAACATACTTCAAAAGAACAAGTAGACTAGTAAATCCACAATAAATTGGCCTGAAGCTGTACTTTATTCTTGATAAATCCTTGTATCAGATATCTACTGGATTATAAAAGCCGTAATACAAATGGACAGGATTTTTCTCTTAATGTAGTCAAAAGGTAACTTTTTAAAGTCTTTACAATCATATTCCATCTGAAACCAATCTTGATAATCCAAGAATGTAACAAAGATAAACAATGGTATCGGACCATTTGAATGTGTATCTACTAGTTTACTTGTTCCCATTGAACAAACAAATGTGTTCTCTTCAAGTACATGTTTGGTAAACTGTTACTAATTTACAAAATTGACTCTTTATAAAACATTATTACCTTTCATGTGGATCATCATGACATAATTCAATATTTGGACGTCGATTACGTAAATCTAATCTTGTTCTAGCCACTTTCAATGGTGCTTGTTTATCAGCTATACATCTTTTTAAATATTCCATATTCTTTTCAACATCAAATAATTCTTGATTAATCTAAAATAATGTTTAAAGAAACAAGATAGAGAGAGAGGAAGAGAAGTGGTGAACAGAAACAGTATAAAATACAAAATTCAATAATCTGAACAAGAGAAAATGTAATAGGAAACCAGTAGGTTCTGGGTTCGAACCTCGCAGGGGGCAAGGTCGTGGATGCGCACTGTTGAGGAGTCTCACAATAAGACGAAACGGCCGTCTAGTGCTTCCAGGTTTTCCATGGTGGTCTCGCTTCAACTGACACATGATCTTAACCATTGTAATAGGATGAATTTAAACTTAAGACATTGAATATTTTAACAATTAATCGGTAATTATATAAAAGTGCGAAATAATTACAACTAATTCTTTTGAGATGAATATAAAGAATTACTGATTGATATCAATCATTAACACAGTTAATAATACGTTCATCGATTCATGGAAATTATAGATAGATTAATGTAAAAAAACAAACAATGAAACAACTTAACGACATTGGAGAAAGTGGACGACCTTTACACGCACGCATACATGAGTATTGACTACTAGTATAATAACACGATAAATTATCATTGATATTGATGCAAATAGACAAACATGGACAAAAATCCGATTGGGAAAACAGGGAGTCTCTAAAAGCATAACATTCAAACCAACTAGCAATCAAAAGATATATCAAAATAAACTCAATCTATCAACTTATTCGAGAACGGTCAGTCAACAATATGGTCAGAACTCAACGGAACAAACACAGTCAATTTCAATACAAGAGAAAAATGAAAGCAATGAAATCTATGACGACAATAAACAAGACAATCAGAATAAGCTGGTTTAACAAATGAAATAACTATGAAGCTCATTTCTACATGAAGTAAGAGCTGATGATATGGTCTAGAACGGTAATAAAAGATCCACAACTAAACCATCTAGCTTAGAGAAATCAATAAAAACCCCAAAACACTTTGATGTACCATAAGTTCTTTACGAGACTCAAATCTGTGTTTATCCAAAAATGATTTTAAAAAAATGTTGTTTAGATGATTTTTTAACAGGGCTTACCTACAATCTTGAAAGAACTAATGCCATCAGTTGGATTCGAACCTACATCATCTAGCATCCTAACATAGTGCAAACGATGACGAATCACTTAGAACAATGATCACAAAGTAAATTGATCAGTTAAAATATGATCAACGCTAAGAACTAGTGATCGAGTAATGTCATTATTTCTTCACAACAGATTTGAGTCGACGTATTCATACATATAAATAAATTACCAAGTTCATATTAAGTATTAAAAAGAAATTCAGCTTAGAATACCATTTTCTTAAAAGAAAACTATTGAGAAATACTCTATGCTTAGAATAAAAACCACTAATACTCTAGAACAAGATTTATTTATAGATTTGACAATTTTCATGAACCAACAAGATCGATTCAATGTCAACTGTCTTCTTGGTAATGAGAAATAGTCACTTTATAGAATGAGTCATTCAATTGTTCTGTGAAAGAAACTATATCAATATACTCTATCTGATGCCAATCGTAATTATATAGTGCTTGTATTCAATAATATACATATATATTCAACATTTGGAGCTAACTTAACTAGTAGTGTTTGCTGTGTCTGTAAAGGTTCAAATCAACAATGATATTTGGTTTATAGTTTTTTGAGGACTGATTTAATTTAGAATCGACTTTCAAGAAGGATCGATATCAGTTAACACATCGTCAAAAACCAGGGAGTATAACAGTTATTACTGATGATGATGACGATGAAAATGTATACCATTGGGTTCTTAAAAATTCATCTAAACGTATGGTGTTCACTGCTATTTAATCGAACTCGTGAGAACGTCATATTGAAAATTTAAAAGTAGGTGGAAACAGATGTAAAGTATTCGTCAGTTTTCATGTGATTTCAGTTAGTAATGAAGATTTTTATTGTGATACTGAGAAATAAACGTACAACCTTCTAAAATATATATGGGTCTGAAGAATGGTTGTAATTTGTATACTCATCAGCTTACTGGTCAGTGTGTGCTGAGGCATGCTCTCCTTAAAGATGAAAGATGGTAAAATTGGTAATATCACTCCTTTTTAATGTTAAGATATGGAACTAGTTGTTACAGTCAACCCGAGCCAGTATTATTATGACGTGTTTATATTGATTGAGCCTTATCACACTTCTATATCATCATAACATTCATAACATGACAATATCATTAGTCTTCAATTGTTCTGATTGGTTTCGTCGTCTTATAATATTGACACATATACTAATCTCATTGTTCTTTCTTGAAATATAAAAGCTCTCCTGAAAGTCCATCTCTTCACTTTTTTTCAAGTGTGGTTGATTGTCAATAAGGGAATGTTATATATATATCGCTCAATATACCTAGTCACGTAGACCAGCCTTTGTACTTCAGTTGTTTTCAACAGTCTCTGTTTTAAACCTCAACAGTATATAAATCGTAATACTAATGGAGGTATTTAACCAGCAATTTATAAGATAAGTAAAATTTTAAAGCATAATCTTAACTACTTAAAAACTTTGTTAGCAGAAATAGTGTTAATGAATCTAGACGATAGTCATGACGATAGTATAGTAATTTAATTAGTTAAATACCTTAGAAATTATGAATATTTTATAATTTAATAGTGTTTTTTTTTCTAATTTTAGTATTTACAGTAGTATAGAAACGAAAAAAGGTGATAATTGACATACCTTTTCTAATTGAACTTGTATTCTATTCTTAGCTTCCATTGTTTCTTGTATACGTTGAGATAAACATGCATTAGTTGAAGACCATAAATCACGTATTTTACTAAATGTTGCTCCTAAACAATGTTCAATTGCTTCACGAATAGATCGACTTGCTGCACGTTCAGCTTGGGAACGTTTTAAATTAGCGCTTGTGTGTTCAGCCCACTTTTCCGGTACACTCATCCTAAATATTCAAATATATGAGGATGGAGGTCATATATATATATATTATATATATATATATATATATATATACTTAAATGTGAAAATAAGCTTAATATAATTGTTAGTACATTACAGTTTACTATGAACTGTTTACAATTCATCATATACTACAAATTGCTTACTGTATTGACAATGAAATAAATTAAAACAAAAGATCATACGTAATGTATTTATCTAGAAACATTTGAAAACTAATTCAAGATTTAAGTTTTATCGGTCACATTTCGGATACCATTGAAGACAAGATAACAGTGGATGGGCAATTTGTCCTACAACTGGACTCAATAGTGGGGACATATAACTTCCATAAAAGTTGAACCCAGTGTCTTTATGTCTCATGGCAAACGCCTAACCATTAGAAAAAACAGGGACAGTAGAATTGTCGATGTGTTCTATTTAGGAACCCCATACTAGAACAAAACAGCTACCAATCTTGAACAAATACAACATAGAAATTAAACTGAAATGGAATATGGTCCATTTCATCCACATCATCAGGATTCATCTCTAAATTAACCGTGAAGCATATTAGTTTGCCTCCATGCCATCCTCAGTTAAACGATTAATCAGGAAGAGTAGTTGATACATTAAAACAGACGCTCTCATAGAAAAAGGGGAAGGGAACGATAAGTGAGATTCCGGATAATTTTCTTCTAGCTTACCGAACAATGGCATATTCATTCAATTAGTTAGTCATTTGCAACGTAGAACTTGACACATGTTGATTGGTTCAAGTTGTTAAACCACATTAGCACAGTGAGATAAAATTATCAAGGTAGTATCTATAGTAATATTTATGGTAGAAAGACTTAGGTATAGAAAAGAGAAAAAAGGAATGGTGAGATTTTTGGACTCAGATTGTAATCTATCACAGTTGGATCAGTTGTCATTTACTTAGTAATTTCCTTTGACTAGGTAGATACACCTAAATAACAGATATTACATTCATTATGGCTATCTGATGGATTTAAAGCTTATCACATAATAAAATTGTATAGGAATTTTTTCTTGAAAAAGTTTATTCTATAAAACATAGGGTAATAATAATTTATTTTTTAATGACATAGAAATCAATAATTAATATCTTTTTCACTTACCATTTTTCTAATTTCTCAATATCACCATATAATGCAATATTAGCCGATGAATTACGTAATTGATGAGCTAATTGATCCAATTGTAATGCCCTAAATTTATCTGAACTATCTTGTTCTAATTCATGTTGAACACTACGACATAAACTGGAAGAAGAAATTAACTATTTACATTGAGAAAATGATTGAAAGATAAGTACGTGAAATTACAATAAAATGTTATTAATACGTTAGTTATTTGTATCCTCAGACTTTATGTTTCCTCTCTTGGATATCAATCTGCCATAGTCAGTCGGTTAGTTAGTCAGAAACAACACAGAACCTGACACATATTTGCATCAGTTCAGGTTGTCACATCACATCAATACAACAAGATGAAATTATCAAGAAAAACAATATGGAGTAGATTTATTAACAATGTCACTTGTGATAGAAATGATTGGGAGTGAAATATATGATATGAGGAGATAGAATGAATCCATGGAATTAGATAGTGCAAGTTGATTTTGAAACTCAGAGTTTGGAGGAAGGAAATGAGCGAATACATCTGGTTCAGTGCAATCAATTCAGAGTCATGTCATTCATCGTCCTCAATAATTGGTTACGTTATTCATGCAGACCCTAACAAGGTAATTTGATGCCATTTACATGACTCAGATCAACTGTCAGTGACTACATAGATTGATACACAGTGGTTTAATTGCTCATGTCTTTCAACTTACGCCCATACCAGCCATCATCACATATCGAGCTAGACAGTGGTTGTTTATATGTAATAAGTGTTGCAAACACCTAAGAAAATAAAGATTTACAGTTTTATCAATCCATTTTTCACTTTAAATAGTATGCTGCATTTTACTCCAGCATTCCCCACTCATCCAAAAACGAAACTTGTGTTTAATCAAAACTGACTTTTTGCATACCGAGGAGAGTTCTGATCAACAAATCATCATCAAATTTGAAGGGTAACTGTGAATTCGGTATACTTTCTGGGTGGAGGTGGACAATACTGTGGCGCACGACATTTATGTGACCGAAAATAAAGTGTCATTTATTGATGTTGGATTACAAATATGTCGAATTAAATTAATCGTCAATATTTTCCTTAACTTTTTGACTACTCACAAACTACAAGTAACATAAAGAATACAATTAAAGTGGGATGTGTTTGACTGTTCCAACTATTTTAATTATGCCTACGATGTTAACGATAAATTCTTTATTATTATTTTGTGTATTTTTCATAAGGACCTGTGTGCAAAGATATTCTCGGCAGTTTTCGATTTAAATCATCAATAGCTGGGGAGCCGTTGTCTATATGTAACTTGTAAAACCGTTTCATCTTCATTCTAACTACCCAGAGACTCCCTGGTCACATGACAGTTCAAATCCAATATGAAAATGAATCTAAGACTCGATCAAAACGAATGTCTAGTGTTATCTGATCGAAAATAACTCTCCGAATCCCGCGAGGCGGGGTCGTGGATGCGCACTGATGAGGAGTCCCACAATATGACGAAACCGCCGTTCACTGCTTCCAGGTTTTCCATGGTGGTCTAGCTTCAATTGACTCATGATCTCAACTGTTGAAATCACTACAATCTCCAAAAAACCCCTTCTTCAGATAGTGTTAGTTCAATAAATTCTCTTTATATATATCACACAAAAATATAAGTCATAATCTATTAATGTGATGGTAAATGAACAAGAGTGTTAGAAATAGTCAAAAGTACATTATTTTTAGTGACAGTTCCTTCTGTTATTCCGTCACTGGAATATACTTTTAGTATTGAAGAACAATATTAGTTTTGTGGATTTTATTTACTGAGACACAAAATGACTAGATATTTTTTACAGTGTAAATAAAGGAATAGTAATAAGTTTCATCCTGAATATATAAATACATGTTCCCACATAATTTAGAGTAGAATATTGTTCAATCTTAATGAAAGTATATAAAAACAGTTTATTCAGTTGCTATTACTATAGAAGAGCGTTGTAAAGATTGTTAAATTTGATACTTTACATTATGGGTTAAGAGAAGCTAGACAAACATTTGAAAAATTATGAAGTACTGAACAACTAACTAATGTCTGATTTCCGGTGGTAATTTTTGGAATTCTATTGAGCAGTTGTAGTAAATGTAATTTAACCATGTTGAGTGTGAGGCATTTAAACACCGCAACCACTAGAAGATGGTGGTACAATATTGTTAGTTGATTGTAATTTAAAATGTAAACCAACTGAATCCCAACTTAGTACTCTTAAGATTAAATGCTCACCAAATGATCTATGATGAGGTTGTGGATGTATGTTGTTGAAGAGTTCCATACTAGGATAAAGCAGCTGTTTATTAGTTCCTGATCTTCAATACTGGTCAGAATAAGGTCAGTCTGTCATGTAAACTAAATGTTTTATTTGTGTCAGTCAACCATTGAGTTACACGACAGTTTCTAAAACAGCAACGAGAATACCCTTGTTAAGGAATTCCTTAAATGCTAAAACGACTGAAGCAACAGAACAACATTATGAAACATACAATGATAGAGACAATTTTAATCATGATTCATTTATTATTAGTTTAATTTAATCTAAACTTTTCATACTATTAAATTCCAATAAATTTGTATCAATCTATGCGTCTTCCTTAATCAATACCAAAATAATGCCTTTAGTTAGGAATTCATGTAAAAAAATATTGTACCTCTATCTTGTCACATTCTGGGGTTACTACCTGTCCCAATACTAGGTAATGTAGGATGATTAGACATAGGATTAACAACCCTATCTCGTAAAAACCAATCTTGCTAAAAAATTGCTAATAGATATTATAAAACATTGTTCATTTTAAATTTGATCAAAAGTAGGGATGGATGGTGGCTAACGGTGGAATCCAGGAAGCGCGTGTTGTCCTATTTGTGTCATATCAGCTGGATGTACCTGATACCCAGAGTTGATATTCAATCCGAGACTAAATCCCAGTATTATATCGCGTTATCCACTTAGATACTGAGTCTAGGTAACCGTTAGCTTGTACTAAATGGTAAAGTTTAATTCATTTCTGTATTGGTTATTTGAATCTTCCGACTGATGTCTAAGATTTCAGGTGATCAGTATGGAGACAATCCGCACAAGATGCAAATATAGCAATAAGAGATTGGTCAACTGTTATCCTAAAAATTAATGGGAAGATTCAAGCTACGAATACAAAATGAATTAAATCAAAAGTGTTTGTATCAAAGGATTTCAGTTAGCCATAAACAAGACACAATCTCCTTAATCTAACCAATGGTTCAATGACATTTTTTATCAAGTGAATTTAACGTTTATATGCTAAATATTATTCATTCTTAACTTCTTAGCCTGGTTAAAATAGACAGTACAATTTTGTTTAATTGATATATGACAATTAGAATAAATGCCGTATATAGTTATCATTCATTGTAGGTTTCTATAATCATGAAAACATCAGTGTCAAATTAAGTATAAGATGAAGTATTGAATCTAATCAATCAATTTGCTATTCTTAGTTACACAATGAAACGTTTGTTTGTTTGTAACTTTTATGGGATTTCATAGTTTTCTCTGACTTTTGATTATCAGCATGATAAAACGGATATATTATAATTATTGTGAGACAATAATCCCATAATTCGGTAATTTTGTGCGCTACATAAATAATACAGGCTCTTTAAAAACAGTAATCCAAATCAGACAGACGAAAAGTAAAGAATACAAAATACGAGATAAAAACTATTCCAATATTTAAAGAAAGATAAGGAATGAATGTAACTGGGTTACTCCGATGCATTTCAGACCACCTCTGTCAACATCGAACATCATATCTTGAACTGTTGCATAGATGTCGACCTGCATATATACGAGCTAGTTTAACAATAAGTAACTTTATGAACTTATCTTATGTCCTTAGTTTGTCGCCCATGATAACTTTCTCTTGATCTATTTGCACAGTACCCAGCAATTCGGTTTAAAGTCATCAGCGTGAGGTGAAAATCTACTTTTAATTTAGAAATATTATAAGTACCATAAAACATGCATTTCATGTTCACACGAATTACATCATTTCTATTCATTGAAAAATACCTATTTGTTTTTCTTCATGTAGAAAAGAATCAAAATAGACTTATTTAAACATATAATCACTTGAATGAATGAATTTGGAATAGCTAACAATAATAAAGAAAAAACACTCAATATTTCAACAGGAAATTTGTAATTCTTTGCTCTTCTTTATTGTCAACTTTTAATGCTATAATTGTAGCTAAGCAACATAAATGAACTTAATAACCTCCCACCCCCCACCCCAAAATAAAATGTTACATACATGTTATAACCAAAAAATAACATATATCTAGTAACAAACATGAAGTACTCTTTACTAATCATAAAATTTAATCTTCAACAGTGAATCGAACTATTGAAATATATGATAGTAAACGTGAGAATCTCATGAGACGGCAAAAAAACAAAAACAAATGAGTTTCTATGGCAACGGGAAGATCAAAGAAGTTCAAAGAGAAGTTAATGATTTTATTATTTTTTGTTTTTTTTAATAAGAAATAATATGAAATAAAATATAAAACTAATTGATTTTGTGAAAAAAACTTTTTTTCTAATATAACTTCGAAGTCATTTGAATTTTAATAAGTTTACAACCACCACCACCACCACAACAACAACAACAACAAAAAGAATAGTATGATTTACTTGAAAATTACTCTTCTTGTATCTAGATATGAATATCTAGTTACTATTGAACAGAAACAATTTAAACATAATAATTTTGTGTATTTTTGATAGATATAAATAGATTAATGATAATGAATTTTGGACAATTTTATGATTGTAGAAATTATTATCGATCATATTACTATATATATATATATATATATATATATATTATATATATATATAATAGATTAATAGTTCTTTTTTTCCTTTTAACCCAGGACCCTATTAATTCCCTGAAATCTCCCCCAATCTTATTCATAAGATATATTAAACATTGGAATTGATTGACATAATCAATTATTTCACTCAATATGATGAATCTAGGTGATGATGTAGATCAGTTCTTAAATAAATACAAAATGTTGTTTAAGGACTGGCCTGTATCGGTGCCAGTTTTAGTGATATGGATTTACTCAATTGAGTTTGTCGATCACCACAATTATCTTTGAAATTTCTTCAGCCTTGGTGGGTTGATGAATGACGAGATTTTGGCACGGATTCAGAAATACTAGTTAGTTTTGCTAACTTATATCACATGTGGCGTAGAAGAGATAGTCCCCTTCCAAACAAAGGGTAGCATACTGTGTAACTGTCGGCTCCACAGTATTCTGTCTGTAAAGTAAGGGCTTTAAAGAATATATGTGTGAGCAGCACGATTTCGATCACAGGTATTTTGAAAGCATTGTACACGTATTATCGAAAGACAGTTTAAGCAAGTCTGAGATTAGACGCACTGTACCAGGTAAATAGGGTAAATCAGCTAACGCGGTTAGAAACTACCAGTAACTGAGATGGTTGGGAAATGTCCAACCACCGCCTACCTCAATGACCAATGTTAGCTGGTGCAAGAGTAAGTTGAAAGAAAGCTAAGAGCGGTCAAAACAAAATGTGGTATTAAGTCACGAGGTTACTGACTGCTGGTCTGAACTACGTGGGTAGATGTAGACTACCTAGCTGAGGATGCTGAGTGACATGGCTAAGAAATCGTCGCGGTGGTGCACAAACACTCTCTTTATCTTCCTCTGGATCTTGAGTTCCAGTATTCCTCCAGACAAAACTTTACATTTAACCCTTTCAAGCCATATATTCAATGTTTAGTCTGTCTCGTTATCATTCCTGCTACAGTTATTTAGACACCTTCGGAATTCATCTAGTTAATTTCAACTCGTCGTCCTAATCTAGTGTGAGGACTTAAACCAAAGCACATTTGTTCCAGGCTCTAAATTAATTACGATTGTCTGACCGGCATTCATAATTAGTATATATCTCTTCTGATTGAATAAAATTTATCTTAATTGCGTGTATAAATTAAACTGAGTAGTTTATTACCTTTTATTCTTTTCTTTTGTAATTTCTCTCCAGTTTATCTATCATAATAAACTCCTGTATAACTTATTTATTGGTACCCCATTACAGTTTAGTGTATCATAACCATACATGCATATGCATATATAGGAGATAATTTATTACTAATATGATAAAATAAATGTAAACTGCTTGTTTGTTTTAGAGAAAGAAAGAGAGAGAAAGGAAAAACGCGTTTATATTATTTCACAACAACAAAATTGGAGAAAAGAAGGCAAGAACTTCAGTAGATCAAATGATATCACCAATAGCAACCATAATCGATAAGTAGGTTTTTGTTCTCCATCGTAAAATATTAATTATATTATAAATTAAAATGGTGGAATACTGTATTTTTGTCTTTTAACAGGGTGTTTTATGATGTATACATGTATTAATGAAATAAAAATGATCATCAGTCTTTTGTAGTAAATAAACGTCTTTGTGAGAACACCTATAATATGCCAGAATAGGTTGAAAAGAAATAAGAGGTGACCAGACGAAAACTTGGTATTGGTCAGTATATAAAGTCATTTGCTATTAGACCAAATTATTTAGAAAAGTCCAGATAACCTGATCGAGACTCTTAAGATTATCGTAACTTATTATTGAAGATATTGAAGGTCACAATTAAAAATCAGCCACAGTGGCATAAATGACTTTACTGTTTATATTTCCTTAGATACTGAGTTTAAAAACTATCTGATACTTTTTTTATTTGACGACTATATTCCTTCTTCTAGATTCATACTGTTTATACTAAATCTTTTTTTATTAACCCAGATATTGCTGATAATTTCAATTATTCGATATCATTCTTGATAATTTATTCTCGACACGTTGACATGTTGTACCAACTTGAACCGATGCACATGCATGTTAGGTTCTGAGTTGTTTACCACTGACTGACTGACTGAATGAATGACCGACTGATTATGGGAAATTATTATAGAAAGGAGGAATATGACTGAGGAGATGAACAGCATGTTTAATATCCTGAAATTATCATTAATATTCTCAAAAACGTTCATATGTTCAGAATATACATTGTTACTCAGTAAGTCTTCATATAACAAACATTAAATTTATATGGAATATGTTGTTTCTCGTTACTAGTACAACAAGAACCAAGTTTCGGAGGCTTTTGTTTTATAATAAAATAATTAACTTTATTTTTGAAAACCTACAATTGTGTAAATATGAAGTCGAAACTGTTTGTTTTATCTCAAAAATAGTAAAGCAGCCTTAACCCCATGCTAATGGCTTTCTTTGTTGATCAACAGAATGTAATCTCATAGGTTGCACGACAAAATGATCTTACTTCCAACATCACTGAAATTTAGGAAGCGCTGGTCATTTATTTTGCCTCAGTATAGGACTTTATTAGCAGTGTGTATTCATGTGCACGATGCGTATCGAATCCAGAGCCCTTGGTCTCGTAGAGCGCTCTGTATCTCCGATGTATGTGCTTAACTTAGATCGATTCACAATATTGTCCGACAATCTTCCACTGACTGAGGTGGATATATATTCTCTCAACTTCGAAACCTATTTGCTCCCAAAAGGTATGTAGTTGGTTTTATGCGACCGGAAAGACATGTGATCAGGCCTTCAACTCATTATAGATAATGAGAACAAATATAATTTGACTTTCAAAAAAGTTGGTAATTTTGTCGTAACGGAAAATAGTTATACACTATTGAAAAGTATATTAAGTAACCCGTACAATTTATAACCATGAAGTAAAATCAAATGTCTATAACAATAGATACAAATTATCATTAGATTATGATGAGCCTGGAGTTTAAAAGAAATTGGTCTTTATGAACGAATCTATGTAAGAATAATGTACATTTCAACAACATTTTAAGTTAACAACTTTCGTTAAATCCATTTGGAAACTAGTTAATATTAGTGAATAAACTTCATTATTGGTCATATTATTTAGCGAATTGACCGTATCTATTTTGAGACAGTTACTCACTGAAGGCAATGGCGGATGGTCGCACAATATCATGAATTGGTTGAGGTTAGACATCAACATCGTTGGATGACGACTCAGTGGTCTAGGGGTGAAGTTTTCGAAAGTCATGTGTTCGAGTCCTGCATGTAGGATCGTGGGTACAAACTGTTAAGGTGTCCCATACTAAGATGAGACAGCCATCCAGTGCTTCCAGGTTTTCAATGGTGATCTAACATAGATCCATTCATGATATTATTCTAAACGACAGAATATCGATTTATTGGCTGAATAGATTCATCTTGACTGATAAATCTACTGTTGGATGATTTAACTTAGTGTGAAACCATGTTTGTACATAAGTTGAATAGTCCAGTAAACAAAAAAGATGTTGACGTCAGCTCATGGAAAAAATACCTTGAAATAGATGAAAACAATTTCAACATAGTAATTTAATAAAACATTTTAATACTTTAATCGATTTGAATGTTAAATTATTCTTTATAATAAAGGATAACATCACTTTGATTAATGAAAAAATCCGATCTACTTGTAAGTAGTCACTAATGAATACAAATAAAATAATAATGAATTATCAATAATTGAATGAATAGCTTACCCTAATTGTGCTGTAGCACGATTTATAATATTTTTAATTTGTTCTTGACAAACTTTTATTCCATCAATTTCCTATGAAAAGAGGAAAAAATTTATTAGAATGAATAATAACTATATTATGGTAATGTAGAATTGTAGTGGACAAGAACACAAGTGGGAACAATCGAACGTATTTGACACGACATTACAGAGCATCTCAATAAAATCTGAGAACCATGTAGTAAATAGTTAATTTGCAAAATATCAATCCATCGTCTCAAATTTCACTATTTTTTTTGTAAATATCAGTCGATTGTCTCAGATTTCATTATTCATGCATTTTCATACCGATTGCGTTCCGTTTTCGCTTTTTCCTTATTGATCTTCCACTGAAATACATTCTAAACCTGACCATCGTTATATAGTACTTATATGAATATAAGTAATCCACACCAAAGAATTATATAATATATATCAAACGGTGTTACACAAATATTGTGCATATCTATGTATATGCTAATTAGATAATGATTTTAAATAAAGCTAGATACAACAAATAAGATAGAATAATATGAAATCTATTTATTTTAAGCTTCCTCATTAACTATTTACAACTGTTAAATAAAGATAAAAATCAGATCACAATGGGTTTTGTGAAGATTTTTAGAAATTTCACTTGTTGAAATCATGAGTCAATTGAAGCTAGACCACCATGGAAAACCTGGAAGCACTGGACGGCCGTTTTGTCCTAGTATGGGACTCCTCAGCAGTGCGCATCCACGATCCTGCACCCCGCGGGATTCTAATCCCAGGACGTACCGGTTTCGCGTGTGGGCATCCAGCCACTAGACCACTGAGCCGGCATCCGACGGTGTTAATGTCTAACTTCAACTAATCCACGAAATTGAGCGACACATCCACCACTGTCTTCAGTGAGTTATTATTTCACAACAGACCTGGTCGAACTCCGCTGGTCATGGCTTCTCACTAGAACTCCAGGATATACCTCTTGAAGCTAGTCACTAGTGAGCGTAGTTCGAATTAATATCAGATGGGTTTTGCGGATATTATAGTAATTTCAATGGTTAAGATCATGAGTCAGTTGAAGCTAGACCACCATGGAAACGGCCACCCAGTGCTTCCAGGTTTTCCATGAAAGTCTAGCTTCAATTGACTCATGATTTCAACAAGTGGAAATTCTAAATATCAAAGATATAAAAAGATAAAAGGATAATTATTGGAATTCCAAACTTAACAAAATTAATTACTTAGTAACCGTAAGAAACTTACAGAGTTTACATCAATTGAAGATTTTCATAACTGGAAATCATCAACAAATCAAAGTGTACTTTATAGACGAATGAAAGAAAATTTTAACAACATAAGTTATGCCATATTTTTATCCTGGATAATGATCACACAATACAGTCCTTGAAAAATATGTCTTGGACATTTATTGTTTAAAGAACTATTATGTGTATAGAATATTACGTTAACTGTAATGTTCTTTTTGTTTTAAAGTCAAATATGAATTCAGTATATATGCTACTTAGAAATGATAGCAAATATTATGAAAGCCTAAATGTATAAATGTTCAAAGAATTGCTTTCAAATATTTTAAACATTAAAACCTGACTTCTACCTATCGACAACAAGGATTGCAGCCAATCACTAATTTTTGATATATACGAGCTCTGAGTGGATTACCTCAATATTGTGAGATATTCACAAGATATTGGGTTTGAGTTCCGGTTTGACCATCACTAATATCTGGGTACATCTCTCTGAAAAATGTCGAATAGGATGAAACGAGCGTCCGAGACTACAATGCTTTCCATTATCCAATACTAATCAAACAAAAATCTAATTCAAAATTCATATCATTTTATTGTGGCATATATATTATCCAAAAAGCCGTAATTAGACTAGTTATCAACTGTTTGGTAGAAAATGACATAGAATAGTATTAGTTGGATAGAAATACAAAAAAATATTCCCCATGGCAACATAAATACTTGCTCCATAGATAGACAGATACTATGTAAAAGTATAAAATGCAAAAAAAAAAATTAACAACTCAGCGATTAATTTGTTTCTATTGTGAAAATAACAATAATGGTAAACCGCATAAGATTGTTTGTACTTCACATTGATGTAAAAAGAACTTAATGCCTAACTATTGACATTTTTTGTTTTATATGTAAAATGCCTTAAACAGAATATGTGGCATCAAACTGTTCGAAATATATTGTACAAATATGTTTTATATGTCTGATAACCTGTTTCTTCTAATTATATTATCCACGTTTATCTAAGGGACTTATTATTTTAAATTTGTAGAGGTTGTCGAATTTTCTTTAGTTTACAACATGAAGTGACCATAGTTAAGCAACCATCGAAAACTAGTAGGTTCTAGGAAGCTAAAGACAGTTCGTCATGTTAACTAAAAACACTGGAATTACATAGGGAAAATGATTGTTTTTTTTATCAAAGAAGGCATATATTTAACTGATACCTAAGATTTCAGTAATATAGAAACATAATTTTAAGATATCTATTTACAGACTCTCGAAAAATAGGGTGTAAAAGAATATATTTGAAATTTCACACGCTCTGTAGAAAGTGTTTAGTAGAAAAATTCAGGGTAAGTACTTCGTTCTATTTGGTATTCATCCACTCAATTTATATGAAACTCACTGTTGTTGTTTATTCACAGAGAGTCGAACCTAGTAACTTGCACTTCACTGAACTATTAAGTCACCTTTACTTATCTGGGCAGCATCAGTGATGATTACGGTGGATCTGATGCAGATGTGAAGTCGCAGATTGACAAAGCAAGAGCAGCATATCTAAAACTGAAGACTATCTAGAACGCAAAACAACTGTCAACCAATACCAAAGTCAGAATTTTCAATACAAATGTCAAGACAGTTCTACTGAAAGGGATGGAGACTTACGAAAACCATCATCCAGAAGATACAAGTGTTTATTAACAGTTGTCTACGTAAAGTACATCAGATCTATTGGCCAGACAGTATCAGCAACAATCGACTGTTGCCAAACTTCAATGGTAGTGATATATAAAAGAAAAATTGTGTACAAGAATATAATACAGGAAGAAAGATCTAGTTCGTAAAAAGAAGACATAAAGCAACTTCAATCTCACAGTTTAAGGGAAGACAGAGAATGTATACACCCACGCCATTGGCATCGATTCTCAGCCATGTTACATGGAGTAGTTTAGTTTAGACACAAATACTTACATTTATCCTACTTGTAAAGGATAGAATCATTCACATAACACTAGACAATAGCTTTTCTAAAATTATTGTCAAAATTATCATTCCACTTTAAAATCTTAACAGTAAGTTGTAATGATAATAACAATGACAATAATAATAATAATAATAATAAACATGCATTTTTCATGACTAAGAATCCGGCAACCAGAAAAAACTCAGACTAAATTCTATCACTTTATGGGTTAGTGAAGATTGTTGAATTCCATGGTGGATATTAAGAATTTACCACAGTTCAACATATATTGAAAACCAAGAGATAATAGACAATTACCTCGTCGTGGTTTGGAACCCTTAACCAATATTCACTCATAACCTTGCGGATAGTCAAACATGGAGTTACCATGAGAGAGGGGTTTTGTGGTTATGATAGTGATTTAATAGTTGAATTCATGAGTGAATTGAAGTCAGACCACCATGGGATATTTGGAAGCACTGGAGAACCGTCTCGTCCTAGTATGAGACTCGTCAACAGTGTGCGCCCACGATCGCGCCTCGTGAGATTTGAGTCCAGGATGTATCGGTATCACGTGCAAACACTTAACTTTTAGACCACTGGGTCAGCTGGCATCGGACGGTGTTACTGTTTAACTTCAACCAGTTCATGAAATTGCCCCACCGTCCACCATTGTCATCAGCGAGTTACTATCTCACAACAGACTCGGTTGAACTCTATTGATCACGGCTTCTCACTAGAATGCACACTACCGATGTGTTCCATACTAAGACGAAACGGCCATCCAGTGTTTCAAGGTTTCCCATGATGGTCTAGCTTCAATTTACTCATGAATTCAACTCAGAGTTCTAGTGAGAAGCTGTGACCAGTGACGCTAATCCTTTTCGGTTAGAGAGAGGTATCTACCTCAGTACAATGGGAGATGGTTGCTCAATTTCATAGATTGCTTCAGGTTAGACATTAACACCACTGGATGCGGGCTCAGTAGCCCAGTGGGTTAAGTATTCTTGAGCGTGACTGAATGCCCCAGGTTCGAATCCCGCAAGCGGAATCGTGGATGCGCACTGCTGAAGAGTCCCACAATAGGACGAGATGGCCGTCCAGTGCTTCCAGGTTTTCAATAGGGATCTAACATTAATCGTTTCATGATCTCAATCAGAAACTTAATAAGTTCCACAACCCCTATACTGATAATTATTAAATAACAATAATATTTTGTTTTTGTTATAACCTTGGTCATATAGTGATATCATGTAATTCATGACTACTGCTATCAGTTACAATAATACATACTATACTATGTAAATGTACTGTACTATTTACCTTTCTCCGTTTTTTCTTGATGTATAACGATAGTTTCAATATCATACTAGAAGTAATTGTTAGTTGTCCATAAATGAAAATAAATAAATTCAGTTGAATGCATAGCGTCAACTTAAATTGAGGCTTAAATCTCTGAGAAATACAATTTTTTTCTCAAACAATAATATTACAGTTATAACGTTAGTAATATGATAGTCATAGTAATAAATCATCAGAGGAGGACTGATGCAAAATACATTTAGTGTCTGGATGTTTGTACCATCTAATCATATTTATTTTTGTTTTTATAATTTGTCTACCAATATGTCATTTTATTGGAAGAAAAATTTATTGAACTGGACAACCATCTTACATTCGGAATATCAGTTCACTGATGGCTTATTTAATGATTTGGTCTAGTGAACAGCAATTAATTAGCTACATTGTATCAATGTATATAACCAGTTGATCAACATTTTATATCATAAATTGATTCAGAATCTATCCACTAATTAAATAAACTATAAACGTTCTTT